GTATATAATTTATCCTGAGAAAATTTGATACAATTTATTTTTTAAATATATCAATAGTATATAATTTATCCTGAGAAAATTTGATACAATTTATTTTTTAAATATATCAATAGTATATAATTTATTAATCTTGCGAAAATTTGATACAATTTATTTTTATATTATACTATTTATTAATCGGTAAAAATTGATGAAATTGATTTATTTAAGTTTAATCATAAATATCAATGATTCGTAAAAGTTTATTTTAAACTATTAAATAAATATATATATATAAGTCTAATTTTTAGACAGACTTTTTTTTTTCTCTCTCGCTCGTTACCGATTTTTGTAAAAAAATCCTATATTATTCTATACATAAAAATTTACCAAAATTGTAAATACATTCAAATATGACTAATAAAAATAAAAAAGACAAAAAGTCAAAAAAATCTGAAAAATGTCACCATTCGGATAGTGATTCGGATAGAAAATCTGATAAGCAGAGTAGTACCAAACAAGGGTAATTTAATTTGGTTGATTTTTATCAAATTCTTTAATTTCTCAATATATTACTTATTCTTCACAATCGATATCTAATGAAAGTGATCCTGAGTTAAGACGTACAAAAAGACGATGATCAGAATCTACAAAAAAACAAAAGCCCGCTTTAATTGACATTGTTCAGGACAAGGGAAACAGTGGTATATTTTGAAAATTTACGTTAATCATGCGCGATTGAATTCAATATATCACGAATTTAAAGGATGTGAAATAATGAAAGGCAAAAAGCCTATTTTTATTGATTTAGTTGACGAAGACGACGAAGGAAATGATGATACGATTCAACAGAATGAGAGAAATAATGACCAATCGACTCAACAGAATGAGAGAAATAATAATTCCAATGAATCCGGTATGTAGTTATATGAAAAACTATTACAAATCGATTTAGTTTTAACCCGATTTCCTTTTGTAGCTTTACAGATGCAGGTTGAGAAGTTGACTCGCCTGCTTAAGACTGTTACGAAAGGAAAGCAGAAGGTAACTGATCCAAAAGAAAATATTATTGACTGGTCCAACATGGATCTGGAAACTCAAGGTCCAAAAAGCCGAAAGAACCAGTACATGACCAGGTCATTGAATAAGCCTAAATATGTTCAAAAATACAGTATACCAGGATCGTCAAAAAGCGTGCGAAGCAGACTATCTCCATTTCCATCCCCATTCTCTTCCTCTTCATCTTCATCAACTTCATCCTCACCATCCTCAAAATCGGCACCATCCTCAAATTCAGCGCCATCCTCAAATTCATCATCGTTTCTTCATTACGAAGAAATGAATAGGGATCAGAGGAATGCTTTAAGAGTACCATATTTTATTTTAATTCGTTTTAATTATCCGAATTCCTGCTAATCAATTATGATAATCTCACGATTAGGGCGAAATAGTCGGAATAATGGACCGACTTCCAGACGATAAAAGTCTAAATATAAAAAAAACCTTTGAAAGTCAACGAAAAAAAGTGAATAATATCATCCCGGTTATTCAAAAATCAATTAATAAGAAGTTCTTCCTGGTGACCGATGGCGTCATTAAACATGTCATTCATGAACATCATCGGCACCAACGGGAGGAACTTCTTAATGCAAGATGAGGTGCAAATTGGGTAGAAAATGATAAAAGAAGGCGGCACGCAAATTCCCGATGAAGTGATGTAAATATTAAATTATTTTGTTTGATATTACCTTTTCTTATTAATAAATATTTCCTATTATTTATTTAGAAACGTGAAAGAAGATCAAAAATCATCGATAAACTAACCACGTTAAAGGACTGATTGGTAGATAAATTCTACGATGATGAGCTCTGACCTGTTCAGACCGAAAATCGATACCACAGTCCGGAGGAATCGGAAAACGATAAAGACAACCCAAACAAACGTAAGATCGTCATCCAGGATCTCAAATGGAGATCGTCTTCTGTAAGTATTCGAGTAATTTTTACCAATCGGTGTATCTTAATTTAATACTATTTTTATTTGTATAGCTACGTACATTTCTTCGAAATTATGTCAATAGTGCGGCTTCATCAAAGTCTTGACGTGTAAGAAATCGGGAGTATGGTAATTATGCAACTAATGAAATTGATGCGCCAATTAACGCCCCATGATGGACTAAAGATGGCTACAATAGATCCCTAAAACAGCTTATCAAGAAATATAGTGAAAATAAATGCTCTCCTCCAGAAGAAGCTGACGAAAACCAGGATCCACCGGAAGAAGATGATCAGGCCGGAGAAGATGAAAATCAAGAAGTTGTTGACAAAAATCAAGAAGTTGTTGACGAAAATCAAGAAGAAGTTGAAGAAAATCAAGAAGACGAAGAAGAAAATCAGGAAGACGAAGAAGAGGATCAAAATAAATATAAAAGAGGTGTTAGTGTTGTTTCCTCTGAATATGATAGTATCAGCAGCGAATAGTGGAGTAGTCAAATTATATAAATAACAATTTTAGCAATATCGGTATTTCAATAAAACCGATTTTTTAGTATATTAAATATTTTAAATATTTTAAATAAAATCGTAAATTTTCGTAAATTTTTAAATAAAAATGTATGGCAATCGGAAGATTTCTTATTGTTATAAATTTATCAAAAAGCTATAAATCGGTATACTGATATGTCAAATAGTAAATATTCTAGTATTGGTAACTATTAATACCCGATTGTACTCTATTGAATATCCCGATTGGTACCCAAGTATCCTCCTTTTGCGCCATCTTTTGGCAGCAATCGGGTTTACCGATTGATGAAAATTTTTTAAAAAATAGGGACCAATCGGGTGGAATTCGGTCACCTGATTGGTCCTTGATTTGACATTGTTCGACTAGTGCGGTAATAAATATTGATGGCAAAACAAGCAGTGACAATCGAGAGAAGCCAGACCTGGAACACCTTTTCCTTTTTCAAGTCTATTCATCACAGCACAGGCCTCTTTAATGATTAAATCGTCAAAAGATGCAATTTCGGCTTCAGATTTTTTTTTGTAATCGATATTGACAATGTTGTGAACGGCACCTAAAATATAAAAAGTTTGAGTTGGCATGCAGGTGAAATAACAAAGAAAAATCGTCATGTACAAATCAAACCATTTAATAAAGATGTTATTTTTTTTAATTCGCTATGGAAAGATTCTAACGAATTCGTTGATGTGACCTGTAAAAGCAGGGGGAATGTTGATGAGCCCATAAGCCCCATTTCTTTGTATTTTTCGTATAATTTCTTTTAATGTAATTTTGTATATAAGGAATGGAATAATGATTAATAGCATCCTGAACAAGATTTTCACATCCAATTTTTGTTCTTTTATGCATTGCCACGATCATGGTGTCTCAAGTTTTTTTTTCATTAATTTTTTGCATCCACATCCTCATGACATGAACAACACAAAAAAGGACTTGGCACTCTTGTTCACCAGCATTTATGCCAGGAAATGTCTTTTTAATGCTCTTAGCTTCAATGTTACTATTAAAGCTCTGAACGGTTCGGGCTAAACTGGGGAACTGATCCGAAACCGGCTCAAAATTCGGTTCGGTTCGGTTCGGGTATTAGAACCAAAAACCGGCAGTTCGGTTCGGTTTAATCTGATTTTTTATAAAAATGCGAAAAATCGAATAGCCGGCTATCTAGTGATCGTACAAAGTCGAGCCATATATCATTGGATTCGTCTCGACGCGACGCGTCGAATGGTGGTAAGATCATGTCTCTAGCATCGATAGATCACACGTTAACCCACGCTAAATTATTTATAAATAATTGGAATTAGCAAGCTATCTATCGATGCTAGAGACATGATCTTAGCATCATTCGACGCGTCTCCGTGAGACGAATCCAATGAATATAAATTTGTTCGTGTATGACCACTGGATGGCGAATAATATCAAGTTTCGCATTTTTTTAAAATTTTTGAGCGTTAAAAATTAAAAATTCCGATACATGAATTTATTCGTCGTCCAATAGTCGTACAAATATGAATTAGGACTCATTGGATTAGACGAGTCGAATGGTGGTAAGATCACGTCTCTAGCATCGATAGATAGCTTGCTAATGCCAATTTTTTATAAATCATTTAGCGTGAATTAACTTACGATCTATTGATGCTAGAGACATGATCTTACCACCATTCGACTCGTCTCATTAAGACGAATCCAATGAGTCCTAATTCATATTTGTACGACCATTGGACGACGAATAAATTCATGTATCGGAATTTTTAATTTTTAATGCTCGAAAATTTTAAAAAAATGCGAAACTTGATATTATTCGCCATCCAGTGGTCATATACGAACGAATTTATATTCATTGGATTCGTCTCACTGAGACGCGTCGAATGATGCTAAGATCATGTCTCTAGCATCGATAGATAGCTTGCTAATTCCAATTATTTATAAATAATTTAGCGTGGGTTAACGTGTGATCTATCGATGCTAGAGACATGATCATACCACCATTCGACGCGTCTCGTCGAGACGAATCCAATGATATATAACTCGACTTTGTACGATCACTAGATGGCCGGCTATTCAATTTTTCGCATTTTTATAAAAATCGGATTAAACCGAACCGAACCGCCGGTTTTTCGGTTCGGTTCTTATGGATTTCGGCTCTAATCCGAACTGTCTATAATCCGGACCAAACCGACCCGTTCGGAGCTTTAGTTACTATGATCCGCAAGTATGTAACGGGGACCAACGACAATACTTATTGCGAATTATTGTTAAAGCTTCTGCAACTGTATCTGCATTCTCATTGCTTACGAAAAAATGGGCGCCTACATTCCAACATCCGAAAGTGTTATGAACGTAAAGAGTAAATAGACGCCAGTCATACCGGTTGGTCTTATGTGTTGAATCTATAAGCGTCAACCATCCATGGCATTCAAGTTTCTTTAGTTGCTCTGGGTGCACAAACACAGTACATTTAGTAGATCATTGGGAGATGCAGAAATTTTCAACAAGATACCCCTGTTCTGTTAAAAAAGAAACAGATTCCAAAATGTCTGATTTTAAGTTCGAATTCCCAATAAAACGGGTTTCCGTAGGCTCACAAATTTTGTATTTAATATTCGTTACTTCTTTGCGCTTCAGCTCACGCGTACATTCACCAAGATCTAATTCTAACGTCACGTATTCTTTGATGGCAGATGTGATAGCTGGAGGAGGATAATTTTTGGCCGCTTCTATTTCAACTAAACTTCTAATGACTTTTGGCCGTTTCAGCCTATCGACTTTTGATAAAGAATGTGTATGGTTGGGGGAGTTTTTATATTGCTCTACTTGAACTACCTCTGAAGAAGCTATCCATAAAACTTTAATTATTGCAGAATATACGTCAGGTGGTCGTGTCTTGGTTATTCAGCGTTTTTCATTTAGAACATTTTCTTTTTCTCAGGTACTTGATTCGCGGTGCTTCATAAAACGACAGGTGAAAGTTTTTCGAATATCACCGTTTACATATTCATACGAGTCCCATTTCGTCCAAATATTTGAAACTAACGGTCACCACTCGTCATTAAAAACCTCCATTGGGATTTCTAAAGTATGGTCTACATCAAAAAGAAGATCCCGCTTTTCGTTTGGTGTGAGATTTGATGTTAACGTTATAATTAAAGGAGTGGGAGCTGAAAACACAGGAGTAACAGTTAATGGAAAAGACATAATAAAGTGAAAAGTTTTTTTTACTTAGAAAATGAGTAAAATGCGCGATATTGTAATGTTGATACCAATTAAACCAATAATCGTTTGTTATTTTCGAGAAATCACGGGAAACTTCCGGCTAATCCCGAAATCGTATCACGTGATTTGCCCCTGCTCAGGGACGATGATTTTATGCGGCAATAAAACATGAATTATGTATGCAACAAAAGCAAAATATGCATTTTTAAGGTGCATATTTTTTTACGATTATGTGCAAATTATGCACCAAAATTTATAATTATGTAAAATTATGTGCAGTTTTATTATAGTAAAAATCAAAAAAATTAAATTTTTGTATATAAAAAAATATTATTTATAATTAGAATTTCATTTATTCTTTATTTAAAAGTGTTATTGCGTAAATTTAAATCCCTATTCCTTAAATCCCAATTCTTCTAAATTTTAGCACCATTAAAGTACATCATACTTAATCTTTTAAGAGAATCTTGAGACAGGTTTTGACGATCACTGTCTAAAAGAAAATTATACATAGAAAAACTTCGTTCAACGGTACAACTTGAAATCGGCAGCCAAATGTAATCTATTGCAATATTAGAAAGGATTGGCAGTTGTGTTGCCTTATCTTCCCAATATCGATCCAATTCCATTTCACTTAAAAATTCGTTATCTAATCCACAATAAATTCCCCATTCTCGTAATAATTCATCCGATAGGTTGTCAAATTCTTTAATTATACTATACTGTCGAATGTTTTTTCGTAAAGCATCTCCAAAATGAATAAATTTGGGATCAAATACTTGACATGCATAGAAAAGTGGCCGAGCTGGATGATTAGGAATATGTGCAGTGAACTTGACATAAGCTGCTTCAAATGCTGCTCGAAAAATGGAATAGAATTCATGTGTATTAAATCGGAGACTATTAATTAAGTTTTCTAAGAAAAGACCAAAATCATTTGAATTCCTATATGTTTCGATATATGCAGTAAGTTGTTGAAGGCGTAATTCTACAAAAGGAAAAACAGGTTTTTTTAATTGTTGGAAAAAATCAAGATCTTGAACAAATTCTTTAGCATAAGAGGAAATGAAATTAAGGTAAATTGTAATGACTCCCAATTCCTTTTCATTTTCCAAGCAAGAATTAATAGCAGCCAAAGTGTTGTGTTTCTTATCATTATTGAATTCTTCTTTAAAAAAAAGAAGGCCAATAGATAATATGATCCTTTGCATATGAAACCATCCGAAACCAAGAGTTCCAACGCGTTTTGTTATATAAAGGAATTTTGCATGGTGAGGGAATTCCATGCATTTTTAAATAAGCCAGGTATCATCCTCTTCGGGAAGGAGAATTAACAAAAACCTCTTTAATTTTATCCAAAAAACATTTTAAAGTATGAAATTGAGGTAATGTTCTCCACATATCCCTTTAATTTTATATAGAAAAGAACAAATCCTTTTTTATTAATTAGAACTTTTTTATATTAGATTGTACAAACACTTTAAACAAGAAAATTAATGCAAAATAATTAAAAAGAAAAAAGAAAATATCGACCACTATGTAACCATAATTATTATCATGATGAAATTCGCCTCCTCTTACAATAAAAATAATGTCTACCAGCAGCTTACATACCCGATAAGATTTATAATATGTGCACAACATGGCACATGAATTAACTGAGGCATTAATGGAGACAGAACTTCACGATGACATTTTTTCATGTACGCGGCTGAATCTGAAAGAAATAGGCGTGGCAAATTGAAGGATATATTAAAGTGAGTAAGAATGGTTGTGAGAACTTGTCCCATTGTGGTATTATTTACACGTTCAAGAAAATCAACTGAAACTAATTTTGTTTCATTATGATAACAAAAAAGGGTGTTGACAACACTCCGAGCACAATCATCAGTAGTTTCATCCATAATTATAGCCACAGGTTTTGAATCAAAAAGTAATTTAAGTGACTGGAAGTGTTTATCAAAAACGCTAGGTAGGTAATTTTGTCTGAGAGTAGGAGCTTGAGGAATGGAACCTCCATTTTTAACGTGTTTTTTAAAAAATAGAAGTAGTGAATTGACTTTTTCAAGAGGAATGTCTGCTGTTGCAAACGCTTCTATAAGGTCTTCAATAAGTTGTTTTTTTGATTCTGAAACTGCCTGAGTAGATGAAAGGGTAAGTTGTTGTGTTTTATTCTGGCTTTCTTCTTGACTTCTTACGTTAAAAACGTGTTTCTGACTTTTACAATGATTATCTACAGTAGATTTACGCTTCCAGTCTATAGAAATATTGCAATGATTGCAAAAGAGAACATTGTCATCTACTCGAAAAATATCTTTATATTCATTACATCTAGTATAAACTGATGAGGTTTTTTGTTTTTTTGGCATTGCGAAAGAAAAAAAGATGATCGAACTGATAATCCGTAGCAAATTAAATATGTTTTACTGCGGATTATGCGCTCTGATATGGGATAATTTAAATTATGTGATTTTATGATGCGATCAACTTAAATTATGCATTTATCGCATAATTATGCATTTAACGTGAAATTATGTGATTGCATAGAATCATCGTCCCTGCCCCTGCTTTATATGATTCCTTTTTAGGAAATTTTATGTTACACGACCGGAAACCAAATTTAGAAAAACTGGTTTTTTGTGGAATGGGTATCACCAAAAATGGAAATGATCGACATACCCGTGAGTCACGTGATAACAATTAAATACCTAATCATAAATTCCGGCTGAAATTAAATGATCAGTGAAAAATTTCCTTTTAGGATTCTTGTGAAACCAAAAATTTCATTTTTGCTGGGAAACAAAATTGCCTTTTTTTGGATTTGTGTAATGTTACTCATACCCTAAAAAGGATAATTCCATGCCGATTACTTAATTTCGGCCAGAATTATAATCAATCCGGTCAATCCGCGGATAATCCGATGATTCGATTTTTTTAATCCGGATTGTGATCATCCAGATGACAGATTGACCAGATTCATCCGGAGCGCACCTTTAGCACTGATAGATGGCTTGCTAATTCTAATTATTAATAAATCATTTAGCGTGAGTTAACGTGTGATCTATCAATGCTAGAGACATGATCTTTGCACCATTCGACATGTCTTGTCATGACGAATCCAATGATGTATGGCTCAACCTTTTACGATTACTGGATGGATGGCTATTCGATTTTTCGCATTTTTATAAAAATTGGATTAAACTGAACTGAACTGTCAGTTTTTCAGTTCAGTTCTTATGGATTTTGGCTCTAATCCGAACCGTCTATAATCTGGACCAAACTATACATGCTGCCCAAATTATTTTAGGATGCCATAATTATAATTTGGGATGTCGTAATTCATTCAATTTATATATAATTTACTATGTAAAGTGCCAAAATAATTTGGGATGTCATAATTGAATTTGGGATTTTACTTATAATTATTACGGCAGCCCAAAATAATTTGGGTGGCATGTATAGACCAAACTGACCTATTTGGAGCTTTACTAAAGATAATAATTCCAATATTGTAATAGGAACTCTAGTAACACCATCTGAATTTGACAATTTAATTGAACTTGCTGGAGAATTATGGAAAGAATGGGGTCATGAACAAAATTCCACAACAGAGTTGTACGTGCAAATTGGAAGATATTGCTTAGGTAAAAATCCATATAATAGGCTATATTCTTCCAAATATGATACATCTCTCAATTGCTGGTTGTTAATAAATGATGGTAAAAATCAACTTTCAAGATTGGCAATAAAACTTTTCAGCATTACACCCCATTCAGCTAGTTGTGAGCAAATATTTTCTTCTTTAGGATGGTTCTTTAGAAAGTGATAGCAACGTTTTCAGCTTAATACTCTTCAATCAATGGCTAAAATGTATCACTATTCTATATCACATTCTGTTAGTTATATAAGTAAAACATACGAAGAAGAAGAGTTACATGACTTATTATTTGAAATAAGCAGTAAATTGGGAGATACAGAAGATGATGTTTTTGATGAAACTACTATTAATCAAGATATGGTACGAGCAAGAGAATTAGAATGTGTAATTAATTATGAATATGAATTAGAAAATGATGATCTTACTATTGAAAGATCGGTAGACTTAAGTTCTTGGATAATCATTGAAGTTAGTTCAACTCCCGTTTTAACATATAAATCCGATTCAAGTAATGATAATGATTGTGAAGATTTTGATCCCAAAGAATTGGCCAATAAATATAGAATAAATATGAAGGATAATGAAAATACTAATGAGGATTAGAGGTGCGTTCCAGATATACATGGCCTGGTAATTCAGTATTTTCGTATAAATACATAATTCATAATCCTGGTAATTAATTACCAGATTATTTGAAAAATACGTAAATACATAATTATTTACGTATAACGTAAATATTTATATATAACGTAATTAAATTAATATAAATTATATATATAATTAATAGATAATATAGTGTGAAATTATTTTGATCAACTTCCAAATTAATAAAACTATCTAAACCATAAATAGTAATTTATTTATCAAGTAAAAAAACTATAAAAAGAAATCATTCATTTTTTTTTTAACATTTAAAAAAAGAATTTATAATTTTTTCGCGTTATAATATATTTCTTTTAAATCTTCTTAAGATATTTTAAATATGGATAACAGTAATGATAATCAAATACAATTATTAATCAAAATAAAAAAAAACGTGGTCATCCAAAAACTGATATTTGGGATTATTTTAAGGAAGGGCCAAGAAATAGAGGGCATTGTTCAGCAGAATGTAATTTTTGTGGTTGGAAATAACAAGTAGGTCAGCCTATTGAAATGCAAGGACATATTGCTTTAAATTGTTTAAAGGTATCACCTGAAGTAAAGTCTTTATTCCTGGAAAAAGTAAAAAATAATGGACATCTCGGTTATAATAAAAAAATTAAAATTAGCCACAATCAGCCAAAAATAGATGAGATATTTGATTCAAACAAAATTGATCAAGCTAAAATTGAAATGGCAAATCGTGCTATTGTAAAATTTTTTGCTTGCTGCGGTATCCCTTTTCATATAATTGAAAACCCTTTTTTTATTGACCTTCTTCGTACATCTCTTACAGAAGATATGCTTAATGCAGAAATCTCACATGTTATTACTGAAATAAATCTTAAATTAAATAATGAAAAAAATCTTACATTGGATACGTAATAATAATTTATTATAATATATAATAAATTAAATTATTAATTGTAATTTCTTAATTTTTAAAGGAGTAGATAGTTGGACGAGTACTAGTAGACAATCACTTTATGCATTTGTTATTATTACTGGTGAAAGAAAAGAATATATTCATTCAGTTCAAAATTTATCAAACTATTCACACACGGGAGAGTTTTTAGCAAATAAAATAATTGAGGTAATTGAAAATGTTGGAGTTACAAAATTTGCAGGAATAGTATCAGATAATGCGTCTACAATGGTCATGGTAAAACAGTTAGTTAACGATCGATATGGATTTATAATGCCAATTCGGTGCATTGTACATCATATAAATCTATTAACCAATGATATCCCTATAAAAAGTATTATACTTAAAATATACTTAAAATATATTATGAAATAGATTATAAGTATATTTTAAGTATATTACTAAAAATATATCTATAATATACTTAAATTTTAATTTAAATATAATTTACAGAGGGCGATCAGAATTATCCGGCCACTTTTCAAGTTGAAATAATTTATATATATATAATATAGCAATAATAAAAATTTAAGTTAAACAAATTCATTATGTCTTTGTTTACTAATTCAGATAAAATTTTAATAATAAATTCTATCTCCATTTGCAAAAATAACTCCCCAATTCACAGAGATATGCTATTGATAGATTTTTTATAATATTCTGGAGTAATACCTTTCAATGCAACTTTAACATAGTACTTTTCAAGTGGTTTTATCAGAAAATTTAATAAGGTATGCAAGCATAATGTTGAAAAAGTATTATGCCATTATATTACATATTAATTACAGGTATTATGCAAATGTAATACTATGTAAATTATAAATTTTTCAAGTTTGCGAAATTAGCAAATTTTAAAATTTAAAATTGTATGTTAAGGTTATTTTGAGATCTAGTGATTGAAATTTTGAAATTTTGGGTTCATCAGATTCGTCTCATTGAGAGAATTTGAATGGTAATAATTTAATGTTTGTAGGATCGATATTCATCACATGATTACGCTCTAAAAGCATAAATGTCATCTACGATATTTTCTGATCCTGTGATTGAAATTTTCCGATTTATAGCTCTTTTGATCCGTCTCATTGAGACGATTCGAATGGTGGTAAGCACAGGTCGATCAGATCGATATTGGCGAAATTATGATGTTTTTAATATTTTTAAGTTTGTTTACACAAAATTGTAAAATTTATAAAATTCATACTATAGGGTGACTTCATACTTTCGAAAAATATGAAGCATTGGAATTTGTTTATTGTGATTATAAATACAAAATTATATCTTATTTATATTACATTAACACATCATGATCAACAAAATTTTAGCAAAATAAACTGGCCGAATAATTTTGATCGCCCTCTGTAAGTATATTTTAAGTATTTGGGCAAAAATTAAATATATTAGAAATATATTTTAAGATAATTTTAAATACATTTTAAGTATATTATAAGTATTTCGCAATTTTTAAATTAACTATATTTTAAGTATATTTTAAATATATTTTAAAAAGTTTTTAATTATATTTTAAATATAAATACTTTTTATAGGATATTTGTAAATTAGAGTTTGCCCAATCAATATTAAAAAAATGTATGAAATTAGTTCATTTTTTTAAAGCATCTCATCGGGCAGGTGCAGAATTAACAGATGAAATAAAGGAAAATATAATTAAAGGTGGTAAATTAAAGGGGTATTGTCAAACGAGATGGATGACTGCATGTGATTGTGTATCTTCAGTTTTAAGATGTGAAGAAGCTCTAAAAAATGTTGGTATTTATTGATTATTTTTAATTATTTATTTTTAATTAATTTTAATGAATTTATTTAATTTTAGATAGCAAATAATAACCTGAATTACCTAAAGCAAAATATCAAAGAAATTATTACGAGGCATTTTTTTATGGATATTGAAGAATTACAATTAATTCTTAAGCCAATAAAAGAAGCCATCAAATATTTAGAAATGAAAAATGCAACGTTAGCAGATTGTTTCTTATAATTAATAAAATTGTTATATTCAATCAAAAGCTTATCAGAAACTCATACTACTTTTTGACAACAATGCATTAAAGCATTTAATAAAAGGTGGATGCAGTTCAATTTTAGGTTATATATGTTAGCCTATTTACTTCATCCACTATACCGTGGTACGTATTTGATAAAATAAAATGATGATTTTTTACTTATTTAACAATTAATTAATTATTAATTAATTAAAATATCATAGGTAAAGGATTCTGAAATCAAGTATGCCGTAAAGTAGTTTATTGGGCAATTGAAAATATATAGATAAAAATGGGAGGAAAAAAAAATTCCAGTTCCAAATTAATTGGGCAAATTGCTGCTTTTCGTGATAATCTTCCTCCTTATAATGATGAATTTGTTCCTAAATATTATACAGTTGAACATTAGTGGAGTTATGTAGAACAAGATGAAGGAGAAGAAAATTTTATCCAACAACTTGCATTAAAAATATTTTCAATAACTCCACACAATGCAAGATGTGAGAGAATATTTTCTGTGATGGGTTGGTATATGAATAAAAGGAGAACTCGGTAAATATTTATTTTATTGTTGCTAGTTATTAATTTTTTTTTGAATTTTAAATTTTAAGTAATTCCTTTCAATTAGATTAAGTGTGAATCATTTACAAAATCTTACGAAACTTCACACATATTATGTTTCAAATGCGAAAACTGAATTAAAGTATACGGCTAGAGATATGAATGTCAAAAATGATGAAGAGTTTATCAATTGGTAAGAAATGGTATATATCAAAATATTAATGATGAAATACGAGAGGAAGAATTAGATAATGAAGACGAAGATTATGGTGATACAGAAGAAGAACTTGTTAACATAGAAGAGTATGAAAAATTTGGGCATAAAAGTAACGATAGTGTTTTACAAAGTGAAAACTATTTTAATTTTGTATCAAAGGAGCTAGTGGAATTATTAAAACTTCAGGAGCCGCGAGTAGTTATTGAACCCGTAAATGTTGATCATATTGTTGACCACGGTAATGAAAATTTCGATATAGAGAAATTATTAGACCAACAATTTAGTGTCATATTCATTTGTTGTATATTTTGATTTGTTTTATTTCTTTCAAAATTTTGAATAAAAGCTTCTAACAATTTTGCGTTCTAACATGAAGAATTTCTTCTTAATTTATTTTAAAGACAATAATTTAATACATTATTTCATTTAATTTATTTTTAACAATTTTGTATATGTTTAACAGTTTTATTTAATGCTTAACGATATAGATTAATAATATTTAATGATCTAATTTAACAATCTACTTTAATAATGCTTAAGATTTTCAGAAACTGAAATCTACAAAAAATAAAAAGAAAGAAACGTACGTTTCTTCAAAGTAAATTTCAAAAAAATCTGCCCCCATACACGTACTTGTGTTCTAAGAAACTGAATCTACAAAAAATAAGAAACGTTAGTACGTTTCTTCAAAGTAAATTTCAAAAGAACCCGCCCCTATACACGTTGAGATCCCCCAATTCCCTCTGTCATCAATTTACAGAGTTGCCACATCGAATGGGCATTCCCATGGTCGAACGAACGAATAATCGAACGAACGAACAATTAAACGAACAAGCAAATAATCAACGACATGATTAACAAACAACATAATCAACAAACAACATTTAACAACAATGTACAACAACATTCTTGGTTCATAACATAAATAGCGTTAGTAATATAAAACGTCAAACGATATAAAATAAAATTTAACTTCTCTAAATTTTCCCCAAATTATATCCACTTTTACCTTTAATTTCAAACTTCGATAGCTCTC